TGAGGTCAGTTTTGCTGCTGCTGTTGTGGTTGTTTTTGTAGTGGGTTTTGTTGTTGCTGTTGTTGTTGTTGTTGAATGAATGGAAAATCATGAACGCCGATGTCTGTCGCAGATCTGGCACTGGATGATGATGTTGTTGTTGTGGCGTTGTTATTGTTGCTGTTTTTATTGTTGTTGTTGTTGTTGTTGTTGTGTTGTTGTTGTTGTTGTTGTTGTTGTTGTTGTTGCTGTTGTTGACGTCGTTGTCGTCGTTGTTGTTGCTGTTGTTGTCGTTGTTATTGTTGTTGTTGCTGCTGTTGCTGTTGTTGTTGTTGTAGTTGTCGTCGCCGTCATCGTTGTTGTGGTTGTTGTTGTTGTTGTTTATGAGGAAAGAAGGAAAGGGGGCAAAAACAAATGCACGAATAAGAGCGGCCTTTTTAAAAATGTTTTTGTCTTGTTATTGCGCGATATGCCCCCCCCGGGCTCAAGGCAGTGCCACTGACTGAAGTGTCTTTAGGCCATTCCTAAAGGAGGGGTAATAACATGTTCTTATGCACAGTAGAATTGTAAATGGGCTGATTTATCAATGCCATGCTCATACTGTGCCGGAACAACATAGGGGGAACTGCGGGTTTTTCTTTGCTCATCCTTACTATCGTCATTTTCCCTGTGATTCTTTTGTATGTTTATCACTCACTTGTGAACTAGTGCCTTGATAGTCAAAGCAGACTGTGTGCTGTTGAAGCTAGAGAGGTGAGCAGAATAAGCCTGATTCGCTGTTTGGGCTTCTCTGTTGACATCCACCCCTTGGCGCTCATATGACCTTATGCAGTTGCGAGCGCCGTAAAACTTTACTAAAACTAAACCTATGGCGAGATATTTTGACGGTTTCTGTTTGTGAATCTGAATGTATGTGTGTGTATGCATATGTGTTGCCGCGTGTATGTGTGTATAAGTGTGTGCGCGCAAGAGTGTATGTGTGCATGTGTGTGTATTCTTGAGCAAGTTAGTCAATGTTTGCAAGTAGTTGTTTGTAAACATACACACGCCTCATGGTCTACAAATAAAGGGATTGCACACAGGGTAAAAGATCAAGAGGAAAACCATGTGGAACCTGGAGAAGAGTGACGGAAATGGATGTACAGTGGGAAGACAGGGAGTGATATCAAGCGGCTAGCCCAGGATAGGGAAAAGTGGAAAGTGTTTGTGTGTGGCCTATATTCTGATCCTGGGTGGGAAAGGCAATGATGATGATGATATAAATTTTCCTTCACATTGTTGTTTTTTTTAATGAGTAAGATCAGGAAACAGTATTTAAAAGCCATGAAAATTGTATTACCTGCATATTGCAAAAATCAGTGTACCAAAAATGAGTTTAGTAATGAAGATGTATTGGAGAGTTATGACGTAACCTCCGTGGCTCTGGTACGGACACCGCTCAATCTTCTTCAACACTTCAGCTGTTGATAGTACCAGTGAAACACATTTCAGTAGTTTGTAATATACAAGCAAAATATTTACTCGGCCCTAAAAGGCACAAAACCAACTGTCTTATTTTTAAAAACCCAAAAGAAAGTCTCCGTGCTGTTAGAATACGGACAAGAGTGTAAGGTTCTTCCGCACTGAGTAAATCGTACAAAATCTAGCAACATACAAAAAATGTCGGGGGAAAAAAGTGACATGAGGAAGTCAGTCAGACGGTTATGTTGAGCCATCAAAACGTGGAGATCTTTGGATAATCTCTTTATGTCGTTGTTTGGTTGTTTTTGTTTTTAATTTTGTTTTTATACGGGGGAATGTTTTGTTTTGGGGGTTCTTGGGGGAGGGGAGGTCGTGGGTAAAAAGGCAATAGTTAGCTCCCAGCTTTTATCTTCGCAACACAGAGTAAAACGTGTTTCGTGTAGCCTAGTCCGATCTTTGGTGCAATCGATGATAACCAACTTAAACAAAAGGAGAAAGCTATAGATCTAAGTGGAGCTGGGTGGGTGTAATTGTTTTTTACACTTTCGAGAATATTTCAAAACCAATAACCTCAACGAGGCTTGTATTCTGGTGGAGGTGTTTTCCCCATGAACGAAATGGTCTTGTCCATGCTGTATCCACTAGCGTGCGACATATCATCACTACCTACACCACTTCCATCACAATACCCACCATCGACATCACATTCAAAAATGACAAAAACAGCCAAAATAACAACGGTAACAACAACAAAAACAACAACAACAACAACAACAACAACAACAATAACAACAACAATTCCAGCAGTAGCGACATCAGCAAAAGTATCAGCAACAACATCATCATCAACAACAATAAAAACAACAACAACAACAAAGCTTGTGTTCTGACAGAAGAGCGAGATCTGCCGTCCTCGAAGTGACCTATATTGTATCTACTAGGGGGCCAAATGTAATTCCCACAACTCCCAGCACCATCGTCATAACCACCACCACCGTAAACAACAGTAACAAGAGGAACAACAGAAACAACTACCCAAAAAAACGACAAAAACAATATTGATAACAACAACAATAATAACAATAGCAACCAAAATAGCAGCAACAGCAAAAAACATAGCAACAAAAATAATAATATCATGGCCAAAAACAACAGTCCCTTTACAAAGAAGTGACTTTGCAATACTTACACCCGACTTGCTCTGGAGCTGCGGATACAAGGACAAAAATCGAATACGTAACGAACTGCTAAACACTGGAAAGGTATATCATAAGATAAAACGATATTGACGAAGCAGTTTACACGAACATCATTTTCATAAAAGACCTTCTTACAACATGGAAGAACAGTAGCTGCATATGGCTCTGCAAGGTCATACAATCCTGAAACTTTGCCGAGACCCCTCTTTGAAGATTAGTAAGTGTGCACCGATGGTTCAGCTGGTATTACGCTGGAATTCAACGCGAAAATCCTCGGTTCGAATTCAAAACTAGATTTTCTTGAACTTGGTTTCTGTGGACGTTTTCGAGTCTCTCACCGTCTTATTTTGTCCTATTTGTGATGAACGTTGATTTTTGGACACTCCGTTTCTTAAATGATTTTGCATTGTTGGTCCAGCCGTGATATTCATGCCATAAAGATAAATTGCAGAACAAAAGGGGAGGCTAAAGAAGACAGGGTGAGTGAGTGAGAGAGAGAGAGAGAGAGAGAGAGAGAGAGAGAGAGAGAGAGAGAGAGAGAGGGGGGGGGGAGTATGGAAGAACAAAGACAAAACAAAAAAGATAGAGGATAGACAGTGGGAGACACCACTTTTTGAGACCAATGCATTGGCGACGAATGTCTGGTATAATAGTTAGACAATTTGCAATTAAACGCAGAAAACGTGAGATAAATTGAGAAAGCTAGCGCTACGGACAAGTCTGTTGTGTACAATGGCATCTCGCAAAAGAATGGTAGCTCCGGTACTACTGAATCGATAAAATCATAATATTGAATTGATTTTGGAAAACCATCAACAAGACAGTTTGTCGGCACACAAGAAATATCAAATTGGTTTTAAATCGTTGAGCACCGGCAGTTTTGATTATCCCTGTAATTTCTTTACGTCGTAATAACAAAGTTTAATATTTAATTAATTTATAGCACATTATACAAATGTACAGAAAAGGATATACAGGCACGAGACTGTCCCAAAAAAAAGAGCACAAGGCGTCTCACCTCTACATCCTTTCTCTCCAGTTTCGTGATACAAGCAAGCACAGACTGGATCATCTGAAGAGAGGAAAAATAAATATGCCTAAACTGTTTATAGGGGATCTGTATTTTGATAAGTCAAAAACCCATTTTATGTCCAAATGTGCATGTTAAAAGTCTGATGGATGAAATAGTGGAGAATTGCAAAGTCACAATTATAATCTTGAGTACATTGGTTATTGCTATAGGGGTAAACTTAGCAAAAGTAAAAGTTGGAAAGTCGGGTAAAAATGAATTTCGACCCCCCCCCCTCCCCCTTTCCCCTTTTTCTCATAATGAATAAGAAGTGTCTTTTACAAATGATGTCATTGATGACCCTAGAGTGGCCCCACTGAGAGTGACGATTCCGGATGTGTGTAGCAGGCCCAGTAAGTTCTGACAGGAGGGTTCAAATCTACTGGTACGGAAAGGAAAATACTTGCTGGCCCATAGGCGCCACCATCGAGGGGAAAGCCCGGTACGGTAGACTAATAGTGTACGAACGCTGTCGCTTTTTGTGACAGAGCACTACCTGTCCGTATTACACTTCCTGGATAGGATCACTTCTATCAAAAACCTTTTGTACTTGCATTCTCTACTTCAGACATGGCTGCACAGAATTACACATCTTTACCATTGTCTGTGACGTGGTGGTAAGGGTCAACGTCGTTGCTTGCAGAAGATGTGACTTCGATTTCTGACAGGTGGATGTTTTTTAATTGTTGTTATCATTTATTACAAATATCTTTCTTTAATAAATTCGTCTTTGGCAATTGATTTTGACATCAGCCTGACTTAGAGTTACGTATAAATCGAGTAATTTCTTCTGTCTGTTAGGATGTGTACCCCCACTCAATCATGGTTGGCCTTGACAGGCTGGGTCGTATCATTCCGCCTTATACTTACATATGGTCTTAACTGTATTGATGGGGTCGTAAAGCCTTTACAGTTATATTTACAACTCTTTGAAATGTTACAAAAATGACGTAAACCCAAACCTCGAATTGATACGCGTCAATCCATCTGGTATACCTGTGTCCAGATCTGAGATGTCCGTGGTGAACAGGGCAAAGACGCCCCGGATGAAGGCCGACCACAAGGTGTTTAGGTTGAAAGGCGCGGCAGGGTACAGAACTGCGTGGACAGCCACTGCGCCAGAGATGAGCGTCATGGACCAGATACGGAGCCATTTCACCAGGTCTCTTCTCATCTAGAACACACAGGCAGGCGACGCAGACATGGGTGCGATTGGGTGTGAATAGGTGAAGATGATGTTGTTCTTCTTATCAAAAGAAAAAAGAACAGTGGTACCCTTCTCGTTTGTTTGTTTTTTCCCATACTACTTTCGCTCCATTTGCTTTCTTTCTATTTTTATATATCGTTACCTGGTTCACGTTGTTAGGACATTTTCATCTAATTTTGGATTATGTACATTTTACAAACGTATTTATTCCTTTAATTGTAGGTTATGTACCACCCTTTACGATTTATCTATGGAAGTATGCTCTCTCTATCCCTTTCTCTCTCTCTCTCTCTCTCTCTCTCTCTCTCTCTCTCTCTCTATCTATCTATCTGTCTATCTATCTATCTATCTATCTATCTATCTATCTATCTATCTATCTATCTATCTATCTATCTATCTATCTATTTATCTATCTATCTATCTATCTATCTATCTATCTATCTATCTATCTATCTATCTATCTGTGAGTGTGTGTGTATATGTGTGTGTGTATGTACGTGTGTGTGTGAGTGAGTGTGTGTGTGTGTGTGTGTGTGTGTGTGTGTGTGTGTGTGTGTGTGTGTGCACGTGTGTGTGTGTGGGTGTGCAGCAAATGAAAAGGAATTGGTTATCTTGTGTATGCATTGTACCTAAATCTGATTAATCAAATAGATAATGCTCTGTCTTTAAAAATAAATTAGCCCCGAGAGCTGTATGACCACCATTGAATCTACGTGTTTCCTTTTAACTTAGACCAACTGCTCGAACCTAAGACCTTCATATAAGAAATATTGTGTTCCATTACATCAGTCACAGAATGGTCATAGAAAAAAACCTGTTCGTTTCTCTCTCTGTACTTTTATGTCACTGACAAAATGCACAGCTTTTTTTTTCTTCTTCTTTTTATCATTGCTTCAAAGTCAAAGGTAAAAGTTGATGCACATACTGTAGAGCATTTCGTCCCTCAAGCAGACAGGACATGTTTAAACCTTGGCGTGACAAAAATTCCTCCTGACACTATTAACTGTTGTCACGAGCTTTTGATCTACATGTCTAACTCACCATGACGGTAATGTTGATGAGCATTGGTCCAAGCGTCTTGGAGACAGGGAAGAAATATCCCATAGCATAGTAGAAGAAGTAGATGAGGCTGAAGCAGAGGAAAATCTTGACAATGAAGAAGGGAAGCACCGGCCAGTAGAGGATGCGGAAAACCACGATCAGGGCCAGAGTGACCAGCATCACCAGCATGTACCGCACGTTGGCGACGATACTGACACGGCCGAAGTGCTGGCGAAAAACGAGTAGAAATTTGGTGCTCAGAGACAAATAATCTAGATGTCTTAGAAAGTACAGTCTTGAGACCACAGTCTTGAGACCGGTGTCTGAGATGTAGAGGTCAGGAGCTTCACTGTGGCGCGCAGGAGACAAGAGTCCGATTCCCGTCTGACGTAATTTGTATCGAGTATATCACTCAGTCTTTCTGCTGCAACGTTGAATCCCTCTCATCCCGGGTTGTCCCAGACAGGCAGGTCGAAGCCCACCTCCTAAATTATCTAAAGTGTGTCGATTTGGGGGGGGGGGGGGCGTAAAATAAAGACTTATTAAACGAGAATATAAATTTAAGGGAAAATTTTCAGAATTGAACAAATATATGTGCAGTTTTGATAAATGGAATGAAGATAGATACAGTTTTGAGAAATGAATGGATGCACAGTTTTTAGTAAGAATTGTGTATTATGCAATTGTTTGGGGTGTACAAGCTGATACATTTTCTGTCTTGCAAGCCAAACATCCTTAAGTCTGTGGAAAGGTATATTGCTAACATGGTGCGTATAATGTTATATTGTGTGAGTTAGAGGCTAAGCGACTTAACTTTTCAAATTCATACCACACTCAAAGCAAAGCATACATCCCCGGGTTACTGTGTAGAATGTTGGAATAGGTCTGAAGCTTCGTTGATATCGTTTAAGATCACAGCTTTGCCAAAATCTAATAAGGCTTGGAAAAGGGAAACACTCGTAGTTTTGAAGCTCACTATGTGACGTCTACAACCTTCTAACGCGCCAACAGAAATCCTTGACCTACCCATCTTTTAACAACAGCCAAGTAGAGTTGCTCAAAGAAGAGACCGACGAGCCAAACAGCCACCACAAGGTTCATGTGGCGGTTACCACAGAACGGCATCATCAGGTTGTAGGTGAAGAGTGCCATGAAGATTGTATAGAACAGCTGGCGGGAGAAAAGACCAAATTTAGATAACAATCACGTGTTAATACCAATGTCATTCCCGTGCACTCGCTGTAGCCGGCATTTATGGCACTCGTTAGCTACTTGAGCCATAATCGTACGGCAAAGTGTGAACCAATCCAGCACAAAAATTGCCGCTGTTGTGAAAGAACACTGCCTTCAATAACATATTATTTAATTCATGTAATATTTAGTTTTTCTTAGCTTGCAAGTGTATGTGTCATGGGGATCTGAGAGCGCTAACTGATAACAAGGAAAGTGGGTCCTACTAATTGCAGTCCGGGGCCGTCTGGAGCCGGAAATGGGGGAGGATGGCAGGTTGGGAGAGAGCACGAAAACAAAGGCAGGGTCTACAATTTCTAAACTGCGAAAGGAAAAAAACAAAAACGATCAGAGATTGTTGGTCTGCTTCGTCCAACTTCCGGCTCATAACAAATCAGCTGTCCAAACCAAATTGTCAATTCTGTCCAGTTTTGTGATTTTAGGCCAGTTTTGTTACCAAACAAACAAAAATTATTTTTAAAAATCGTAAGGCAAAAACATAATTTAAAAAATAAGTATACGGACGGCTCCGGTTGCAATTAGTAGGACCGAGGAGAGCTGTATATATAGTAGGTTTTCAGAACTTTAGCCCAAATGCGTCAACATTGTAGCCATGTTCGGAAGCATGCCAGTTTGTCTCAGGCCCAGTTTGTCACAGGTTCAGTTTGTCAACGGCCCACCCCGCCTCGACTGTATCCTGCATGATGGACTTTAACATTGACACTTTCAAAAAGTGTAAATGAATGATTGATTGATTGTATGAATTGAATTTTATTTTGCAACTGTTTTTAAGAACATTCATTGTTGAAATCTTACAGAGTTGTTTGCTTTGATTTGCATACAAAAAGGAAGAAATATTGAACAATACAGGCTGAAGTGACATTTTAGAGGGACTATCTCTACACCACCAGTTTGAAAGTGGAGAATAAAAAAACTTGAGTTACAACTACAATGTTATAGTGCTGTAGTTATGAAAAACTGGGCCTAAACAAACTGAGCAGCTCCCACCCTCTGGCTTCACGAGCGGAATATCTCGAGTTGGAGGTGGTTACTAGGTTGGTTGGTTGGTTGATTCGTTGGTTCGCTGCTTGGTTGGTTGGTTGGTTGGTTGGTTGGTTGGTTGGTTGGTTGGTTGGTTTGTTGTTTAGTTGGTTGGTTGGTTGATTGGTTGGTTGGTTCACTGTTTGGTTGGTTGGTCGATTGGTTACTTGGTTGGTTGGCTGGTTTGTTGGTTGGCTGGTTGGTTGGTTGGTTGGTTGGTTGGTTGGCTGGTTGGTTGGTTGGTTGGTTGGTTGGTTGGATGGTTGGTTGGTTGGTTGGATGGTTGGTTGGTTGGTTGGTTGGTTGGTTGGTTGAACAGCTTCCCCAGTGTGTGTCTCTGTTAAGAGTTCTATACTGTAGTTGGTATCAAATCATATTTTAACGTAAGTTCCAAAGCGACCGATAAAGTTATTATTTTATTGCCATTTTATCCTCAGTGAAAAAGTATAATGTATTCGTTGATGAATAGTTCGTTAAAAATATCAAATGTTTTGGGTTTTCGCCTTTGTAACGCTTATACGGTTGGGGGGGGGGGGGGTCTTTTCTTTTTTTTTGGGTGTTTTTTTAATAGTTTGTGTACTTCATTTCAAATGAAAAATTGCCTGGCCGGCAGGTTCAACGCACCCCGCCTCCTAAAGGTCAAAAATCTGTCGATAGTGTCACCAAAGCAATGTTTATAATTTTTAATAAATGATGGAATTACTGTGGTCATCCAGAACTTAGTGATGGGAGCAGTCCACAGGTAGTACAGCTTCTGGATCAGTAAGTAAGAGTCTCCAGCTTTATCCACGACCGTCGCTTCCAGAGTAGCCAGCTCGTCCTGTTGATACACACATCGGGGAAAGTAGTCAAGAGAGGTTCCCGAACTCGAGCGTCTCGTAAAATTTGTTTGAAATTGGTTTTGTCAGAGGAAATAGGTGTTAATTGTTTGGTCGAAAATACTAGTTGTAAGGTGTTCTATTTGAAGGAGGGAACACTGGCACAGCCATGTTCAATTACTGATGAAACAAAAAACGAGATGAGACAGAAATAACAAGAACATGGGGAATGTATTAGGAACAACGAGTAGCAGCGAGTACCGTCCGCCCTGCAGCAAAGTTTGTTATTGTCATAAAAATCACAATCTAGAGATTTGAGCAAGTAATAAATTTAGATAACATTTCAGAAACAACACGGAAAAGGAAAGAAGTAGGAGGGGCTTTTTTTTAAAATCTCAAAAGCATTGCACTTTGCACCAAATTTTAATACTTCCGTCTATTTTTCATGTCATTGCACAAATTTAACGTCCTTTTCAACACTGGAAGTCTATTTGGGAGACAGGACCTCAGAAATTTACATCCGTCGGCGATAGGACCGGGCCAAATGGGAGGAGAGCATTAAAAACTCCCAAAAAGTAATGCAAATTCAGATCTCCCGTTGGGGATTAGAACCAGGGTCTTTCACACTGTAGTCCAGAGCAATACCAACTGAGTTAACCGTGCGCCTAATTCCATCTACCGAAGACGGAACAATATTAGTTATTGGATGGAACGTACCTTTGTTTTCTTTTGATCATTCTCGTCAAGTTCCCCCTGGTTACTGTTCGTTTTGTCCTTCGATTTCTGAAGTGAATGGCTTGAATTTTCTACCTGAGATGTCATCCTGGTTCGGCCTGAATACCAAGTGTGAGTGAGAGAGTCAGTTTTATACATAACAGGTTATTCATGTCGTTACTCCGGGGCAAAAAATAGGTCCATCGTGTATCTGGATAAGGCCAAATGTTTGAGTACTTTATTACCTTCATATTTGCCTTCTTTACAACAGATTCTTTTTTTAAAAACCTGGAAGGCCGCTAGAATATTTGAAAAGTAAAAACAGGCAAGTTTGAAGCAGCAACTGAACTAAAGTAAACGTTTTGCTCTTGGGGTATTGTCGTATAGAAGTTGAACACTGATGGTGATTCGTAAAAACAATGTAATTCGTAGCTAAGAGTTGCATGCTACAGTTCCAATCAAAGATAAATTAATAAATGTCTCTGCATGGTTATCATGATTGAAAAACAAATTTTAATTGATGCCAGCCATTGACTTGAATTACGCCTTATAGCTGCTGCTCTTTGCTTTCTATAGCCGCTGATAGGTGTGCGCGACATGAGCGTCAAAAATGAAGAACAAAATAGCATCCTCGCTATAGTCGAGTGAGTGGACGACACTTTTCTCCCTCCCACCCCCATCCCCTGAACCGTGCCATTTATTTGGTTCATGTCAGATAGTGAGCACATAAGTGAACCGAAATTGTGTCAGAGTCACGGCTAAGGATAATTAATGTCTGTCTACGATATCAGCTTACATTTTGGTGCTTTGCACAAGACATCAATCTTTAAGATTCAAATCGATTAGTTCTCGAATCCACAAAGCAGTCTCAGGGACAAACCCGTAAAAATGACGAGTTGAACAAAGGGCCACGCTAAAAATCGTTGTATTTAGTTTAAGCACACGTACCAGTCTTTTCAGCGACAATTTCAACCCAGAAAAGTGTTGGGAAGATGAAGGTCAGACATAAGAAGATCTGAAAGAAGAAAAAAATAGAAAGTTCTCTTCTTTAAAAACTGCTTTGTTTGCACAGGTTTTGAGTAGCGAAGCTCAGTATGGAGGCAAATAATACACACACACACACCCACACACACACACACACACACACACACACACACACACACACACACACACACACACACACACACACACACACACACACAGTACACACACACACACACACACACACACACACACACACACACACACACAAACAGCGCGCGCGCCAAAAGTGGGAAGGAGACCGAAAAAAGAGTGGGAGGAACAAATTAAAAAACAGAAATGAATAATAAACAGACAAAACTGACAAAAACAAAACAGAAGCAAAGAAAGGGATGACAGGGGCGTATTATTTCCTTCCTTCGTATACATAGTAACTCTCCTCCAACCACCCATTCCCCAACCCAACCCACATCTCTCTCTCTCTCTCTCTCTCTCTCTGTCTCTCTCTCTCTCTCTCTCTCTGTCTCTCTCTCTCTCTGTCTGTCTGTCTCTCTGTCTCTCTCTCTCTCTCTCTCTCTCTCTCTCTCTCTCTCTCTCCCTCTCTAATTCTCTCTCTCTTTCTTTCTCTATCTCATTCTCCCTTTCTCTCTATCCTCTCTTTTTCGTCTTTCTCCTCTTTCTATTTCAATGTTTGTCTTTCTCTGTTTCCCTCTCGCTTTCATTTCTTCTCTTTCTTTGTTCCTTTTCTGTTCTACCTTGCTTGTATAAAAGAAGCATTCTGGTACTTTTTAAATGAAGGATTTTTTAATGTTTTGAAAAGCGAGTATACAATTTCGAAATTATACAAAGAACAGCACAGTGCAATATGTATAATAAGTATCTTTGAGGAATCACAGACGGACTACTAAGGCACAGCACCCATAATGGGTATCTAATACTCAGGGGTGTAACGAATTCTCTTTTCAATAAAAGTACATGCATGGGCAACAGCCTATGACAACTAAATCCATTACCTTAAAAACGAAACAAAAATGGGTCTCTTACGATCTACGTCTTTATCCTGGCCGCCCTCAGGTGTTGATACCTTCGAGTTTTGTACAATTTAATACAGAATGCTGAGCCCTACTGATATACTCATCCATCGTCAGTTAGGCACCTTGACGCTGTCTGGAAGACGAATGAATCCCATATCATGCTGTCGTATCCGAATGGAGCCGTACCACATGTTGTAGATGTGTCGCTGGCAGCAAGGGTGAGCGATGAAATACTTGTTCTTCCCAAACAGGGCCAGATCCACGGCTGTGTAACCTTTGAAGTCCTCCATTTTGATTGTCAAAGACCTCAGAGCCTGGGCGTGAGACTCCTCATAATTCAGGTCCAGCATTTTGACAGCCAGCTCGCCAAACTCCCTGGTCGGAAGACACTTTAATAGGGTACCAGGATAGGGAAAAGGGGTGCTGTGGTGTGTGATTTAAAGTCCCTGTCAACATGATGAAATTATTTCAGATAGGACCGGAAGAAGGGCGTAGGGAGTACCAGAGTTGAAAATTGACAGTTTGGGCTGACAACAGCATAGCTTAATACATGTTGACAACACGAGGAAGAAGGAGTTATGATTTAAAATTTGTAAGTGGGGTTTAAAGTAATGTGTGCGTGAGATTTATAGATCGTTTTGATTGGAGGGGATTTTAAAAAACACAAATCGGCAAACTAAGAAAATCTGAATCTCCATCTCGTGGAAAGAAGGAATGTGGAATGGGGAAAAGGCAACAACAACAAAGGTCCGACGCGGAATGGCTAGCTATACACTACCAAATAAGACCATAATAAGAGATTTAAAACTTTTACAGTTCAAATTTTGAGAGACACCGTGAATGAAGTGACAAAGATGTCAGCCTCGTCTGGCTATTACCAACTGCATACTGCAGAAAGCTTCATCAAATCCTTATTTGATATTCAGATCGGGCAGATCTTCTTTAAAATAGAGATAAAAGCTACCGTTTTGGTCCAATGATTAAATTTCTCAAAACCAAACGATCACTTTGGAAACAGCAAATCACAAGGCGAGTACTTGTCACATGACACTGCAGGTCAGATCTTTGTAGGTCCACGGAATTTGACAGGCCCTAATGGGATACTGACCAAATTGGATCAAGCTAAGTAATGATCATTATGATGTAATGTGCACTGCCCATCACCATTACCCGGCCTGCCCCCAATTCAATCTGTCCATGCATCTGACGAATGGGGCATCCAATATTACTTGAAATTACTTGATTCATCCAATCTAAGCCAGTACTCACAGTCCGATTTTGTTGGTTTTCTCTTGTAGATCGACGTCTGAAATCCAAAATCTCGCCAGGCGGCTGTACATAGTGGACAGCACGAGAGCCATCGCCATAGGCTCATTGGTTCGAGCCCAGAGGATACGGCAGAGTTCAGTTTTGTTGGTGAGTGCAGCCCAGTAGACCAGAGCGTGCAGAGCCTGTAACAGCGTTTCGTAATACCCTAGAGCGACTGCTTCTTGTTTACTGGGGATTTCGGCACATATAACATTGTCCAAAGTTGGCCAAAAACGCGTTGATATAACATACACACATGCACACATGCACACTCGCGCACACAAACACACACAACCTCTCTCTCTCTCTTTCTCTCTCTCTCTCTCTCTCTCTCACTCTCTCCCTCTCTCTCTCTCTGTCTCTCTCTCTCTCTCTCTCTCTCTCTCTCTTTCTCTCTGTGTGTGTGTGTGTGTGTGTGTGTGTGTGTGTGTGTCTGTCTCTCATTTTTTCTTTTTCTCTTTCTCTCCCTCTCCCTCTCTTTCTCTCTCTGTCTCTCTCTTTTTTCTTTTTCTCTTTCTCTCCCTCTCCCTCTCTTTCTCTCTCTCTCTCTCTCTCTCTCTCTCTCTCTCTCTCTCTCG